GGGGTGGGGGCAGGAGGCCTGGGAGGAACCATTTCCCCTCTATCGAGTATTTCAAACTATATTATTTATGAGCCGCCTCGCTTAGGGGCCCCCTTGGCTCCCAGGGCGTCAAAGCAGGTTTGCGACCGCGAAGGGCGACCAGTGTGAACGCCCGCGCGACTTCTCCCGGCGGCTGAGCTCAGCGGAACTGGGGGAGGCTCTCAGGAAGGGGGACCCGCAGCTCCGCTCGCCCGGCCGCGTGGGGGTGCGGTCAGAGGCGGTCGGACTCGGTCCGGAGGCGCCGGGCTGCTGGGCCACGGAGGAACCGCGGAGAGAGGCGGTCTCTACCGGCTGGGCAGCTAGTGGATCACGGAGGAAGGGCAGGTGCAAGGCGCTTCTGAGAGAGTGGAGCCTTCGTAGCACAAGCGCCCCATCTTACGAATGAGGAAACTGAGGCTCAGAGAAGCAGAGCTGGACGGGCAGGCCCTGGCGTTTCCTGCCCCACCCCCGGGAATCCCCTCACCTGTCCAGGCCACACCTACCTTGGGTTCTTTGTCCCCACCCTGGGTACCGGTTCCTCCAGATGGATGGATGGATGGATGGATGGGTGGGTGGGTGGGTGGATGGATGGATGGATGGGAGGGAGGGAGGGAGGGAGACAGGGAGGGAGACAGGGAGGGAGGCCCGCCGTATATTTATGGAAAGACTTAATCCCTCTGCAAGCCCCAAGGAGGCTGAAAGCTTCACCACCTAATCTCCTCTCCCTGGAAGCCCTTCCCTTGCTTGTGGGGTGCAACTCAGTGGGCACTGAGCCGGAGTTTAGGTCACCTCTGAGGACTGGAGCTGGGACCTTCCCCTCAGTGGGTGTGGAAAGGGAGCAGTGCTATTTAATGTGTACCGAGCACTTGCGGTATTCCAGAGCCCACAGTCCCCATCACCTGCCTGGTCTGTTTCATCCTCTGACCAAGTAGTGGTGTTATCCCCATTTTACAGATGAGGACACAGAAGCTTGTAAAGGTCATGAGGCGGGTCGGTGGCAAGGCCAGGCCTTGAACCCCTAGCCCTGACAGTGAATTGCTCTTGAATATGGCAGGGGCTAGGCCAGGCCTCTGGGACCAGGAAGTGCAACACCTCCCCCCCAATAAAATATTATGAACATGTAATACACACATGGTAACATGTGCACATCAAAAGTGTACACCAGATCCGGAAATAGAACTTCCCTAGGAATGTCCTCCGGCCCCTCCCAGCGGCAGTCTCCCTTGGGAGCCAGCAGTGGGTCCCATGTCTCCCACAGGCTGCCACTTCCGAAAACCTTCAGGTGAGCTGGCAGGTGCTCACTGCTGCGGGCTGGTACTTTGTGGCTCCTATCATCAAGGCTGCCATGAAAAACAACTGCATGTTTTGGGGGGCACCTGGCTGGCTCAGTCACAAGAGCATACTCTTGATCTCATGGTTGTGAGTTCGAGCCCCACATTGGGTATGGAGCCTACTTTAAAAAAAAAATTTTTTTTTTGAAAATTTTATTTACTTATTTGACAGAGAGAGGGAGAGAGATTGAGAACGAGCAGGGGGAGCGGTAGAGGGAGAGGAAGAGGCAGGCTCCCCGCTGAGAAGGGAGCCCGATGTGGGGCTGGATCCCAGGACCCTGAGATCATGACCCGAGCCAAAGGCAGATGCTTAACCCATTGAGCCACCCAGGCGCCCCTAATTGCACATTTTTAAATTAACCCTGTGGTTAATTAACCATTAACTTGACTTCTAATAGCATACCCCTTATTTTTGAATAAACATTTTTATTGACATATAACATATGAAAAGCTACACAAACCATAAGCGTTGAGCTTGATTACACAGAGGCTCAGAGCAGGCAGTGGGTGAGTGTTTTGCTCAGAGTTACATGGTCAATCACAGGGAAGCCAGGTGGCCCAAGGCCCTTCTCCATGACAGAAAAATAGGTGGGGATTTCAGTGGGTGCTTTGCCTCCCCGCCCCCATCCTCTTTCACTTCCTGTTGGTGAGCTGCTGTGGGCCAAGCAGCTGTCCCTGCTCCCCCCCACCCCCAAGAGAGGAGCTTGCAGCCTCCTGCAAGTCCATGGGCCAAGGCCAAGGAGATGCTCATGTTTGCACTCTGTGTACCAGGATGGGAGGCATGTTAATGCTTGTGGCATATCTGTTCCCAGCACAGACCCTTTGGCTGGAATTGCAGGAATTCTAATCCTGTTACAAAAAGCAAGTGCCTTTTCTAAAGAAGGAAGAAAACCAAGATGTTCCCTGTGCCTACTGGGAGCCCAGGGTGGCCAGCCTGTTAGAACCTTCTTCCCTGTATTTGCAGTGAGGAAACAGGCGAGGAGAGCTTGCCCACGTGCCCTGGCTGGGAGTGGCACCTGGTTCCATCCTCACTCGGTGGGTCCACCCACCTAGGCCGACTGTCCCATTCCTCAGCTATGATTCTTCACCCCGGCCCTCTCCTTGGGCTTCAAGTGAGGTATTGGTTAAGCAGCTGAGCTGCCACACTACGGTAAGTCATGACCTCCAGAGGATCATTCCGATTCCCTCTAGGAGGTGGCTCTGCAGAGACCAAGATCAGACTTCCAGCTGGACACGACCTTTCACTCACTTTCCCTCTCTGGGCCTCCGTGTCCTCATCTGGGAAACCCATGTGAGCACCAAGACCACCTCTGTCGAGAGCTGCCAGATTTTGCAAATAAAATACAGGATGCACCTGGCACGCGACTCTTGATCTCAGGGTTGTGAGTTCAAGCCCCACGTTGGGTGTACAGATTACTTAAAAATAAAATCTTAAAAACAAAACAAACAAAAACAACCCGGACACCCAGTTAAGTTTGAATTGCGGATTCATGGTGAAGGATTTGGGGTCTGAGCATGTCCCATGCAGAAACAGGGCACTGTATATTTTATCTGGAGCCTTCTCTGTCCGGCTCCTTCCAGCTCTAGATGCGTATGATTCACTCCAGAAAGACGTCCCCTCACACTCCAGAGCCCAGCCTCTGGTCTACAAAAGTAGTAACCGAAGGGAGTCAGCCCGCACTGGGCCAGACTTCAAGAAGTAGCGTCCCCGCAGTCCGTCGGTGGCTCTGTGTCTGGGACACAGTACATCGTAGTTACTTTTTACTTTGGGCAGAGAACACGCTGTCTTCCCTTTCTCCACACTGCAAGCGTGTAGAAGGTGAGTGGGGGAGCTCTCACCACTGTGGGCTGGCCGTTTCTTCCAGGCTGCTGTAAAAACAGTCACAGACCGCTCGGCCACGTGTGTCCTTCCCCTGGAGATGCTCCTGCTTTTAGCGCACGCCGCATGGCGTGCAAAGCAGCTGATAGCCATCTCTCTCGGCGGCTCAGAGCGGAGGCAGACCCCGCAGGAGGAAGGGTGTATCATCGCCGTCCCTGCCGCGAGAGAGGACCCTGTGGTGGCCATTTGGCAGTAGGGCCATTTGTATGCCCGGGTGCAAGAAAGAGCCCGTTCTACTTCAAGCTGTTGTGCAAATAATTAACAATCTGATATTTCAAAGGGAACACAAACAGCCCGACGCAATAGGAAAGGGAGGTTTTCCACACTCCTGCCAAAGTGTGGAAGAGGGGACATTTATACCTAAACTAGCGGTTCTCCTGGGCCTGACTGCATTTGCGCCATCTGGCCGAGCGAAGGGGGACCCCTCCCACGAGAGCTTTGCTTCCCTCCCATCCAATCTCTTTCCTCGTCGCAGAAACCCGTATCTTTGTAAGGAACGCAGCGCAGAGCCGCGGCGGATGGGATGACGGGGCCCTGAAACCGAGCACCCCCAGTGGGGCTTCCTAGCCCCGGGACCCCTCGGAGCTCCATCCCCCTCCCCCGTCTGTAAAATGGGGGTGGCGGTAATGTTTCTCTCTTAGGGCATTGGTAGGGTGGAGTGGAGTAATTTTTATAATAATCTCAGCCCAGGACTTGGCCTCTTAAAAGCATTAGCCAGGTATGTGTCAGCTCTCGTTATTGTGATGCTACCCACGAAGGGGTCCGAGGTAGAAGCGGCCTCACTCGCCCCAGTCAGGCCTCCATTCCCCCAGTTGTAGAATCAGGCTTCAACTCCTCCCATTCACGGGGCTCTCTCCGCAGTCTCTGCCGGGCCTGGCCCTCGGTCAGCAGCCCCATCACAGAGGGAGTGGAGTGGATCACCCGTGGGAGCAGCCCAAACCGGGGTCCGCCACGCAGGACACCCCTAACGCAGCGCCTGCGCGGGAGTGCCGGGGACAGGACCACCCCCCAGGCTGGTGGCAGGGTGCCAGTTTGACACAGAGCCTGGGCAGCCCGACTTCAGCACCTCCGGCTCAGAGAGGGAAATGACTTGCCTGAGGTCACACAGTGCTTGGACCCTGGTTCGTCCTCGTTCCTCCAGGCCGTTCCCCACCCCCTGCTGCCTACCTTCTGTCCTGTGGGGAGGTAGAGGCAGGGTGGCCAGAGTTAGGGCCCGTGCACTGGGACAAGACACGTCGGTTTGTGAAAATTCTCCATTGGGGAATTTTAGGAATCGGACACAGAAACGCTGCACACTGACATGACCCCTTGATGTGACCTGGCCGGACCCTGACGCAGCTTCTGGTCCCTGTGTCCCCTGAATCCAGGCTGGGGCCTCTCCTGCTTCCTCCTCCTCTTGCTTCCTTGATCCGCCTTCTTTCTTCTCCCTCCCTCTCCCCTTCCCCCCTTCTCCCCCCCTCCCCGTTCCCCCCTTCCTCCTCCTGTCTCTCTCTCTCTCCTTCCCTCCTGAATGTTCTGAAATGGGTGTTTTTCAAGTCACAAGACAGCTTTAGAGACGACACCTATCAATTCAGGACAAGTCTTGGGGAGGTGGTGCTCCTGGCACAGAACAACACAGCCTTCCCCAGACCAGAGCCGCGGTCCCCTGAACGCTCCTCCAACTGCATCAGAGAAGTCTCGAGGAAAACACGGTCTGATGCACAGAACCGCGGTCTGGGCCACCACTGGGGAGGCGGTGGCGTGGGGCACAGAGGCCGCGGGACCCCTGTTGCGCTTGTGTCTCTGCTTTTCTTTCCCTGGTTGACTTCTCTTGAAATAGTTTCAAGCCTCCAGAAAAGTTGCAGGAACACAAAGTGCTCCTCCAGGTCCTTTCCCAGAGACGAACACTTAGCCACGTTTGCCTTGGGGTCTCTCTCCGTACGTACACGCGTGTGCTGATCTCCTAGCCGAACCACCGAGTTACGCTGCAGGCGCGGTGGCCCCGAGCCCAGACACCTAGAGCAGCACCGCCTCTTGCAGACTCGGTCGGATGATCGAGGTCAGAAACCTGAACATCGGCTGCATCCTGTCACCTCATAGACAGTTGTCTCTCTTTTGGCCATTTTAGTATTAGTTGTTTTTTTTTAAGATTTTATTTTTTTGAGAGAGAGCACGAATGGGAGGGGCAGAGGGAGAGGGAGAAGCAGACTCCCAGCTGAGCAGGAAGCCCCACTCGGGGCTCAATCCCAGGACCCCGGGATCATGACCTGAGCCGAAGGCAGACGCTTCACCCACTGAGCCACCCGGGCACCCCAGCATTTTTCAGACAAACACAAAAATACGTCATGAACTCCCACCTTTCAGCTTCGGCGCCCCTGCCCCAACGGCGTCATCCCCCTGCGCCCACAGCACGGGGGTGGCTTTTCTGGAGCATTTTACAGCAAAGTCCTAAGGCCTTCCCCATAAATCACTGTCTAAACCCTGGGACGGGTCACCCATAAGCACACAGTGACGTCGGGGTGCACTGCGCACGGCGTGTCTACTAGGCTGTGATGTGTGAGCTGCTCAGAGTGGCCAGTGGGGGTCCTGGGTGTGTTCGTGAGCCTGACCTCAGGGCTGCAGACCCCTGGGCCGGAGACCCAGCCTGAGGAGGGTTGGGAGAGACAGAGGTAAGGTCTGTGCCACCCCTTGCTTAGCCCCCACCCCCAACCCCGGGAAGCCCTGTAGTTGAAAATGTTGTGGCTGTGGGGTCCAAAGTGCTGGGTTTGAACCCCGAACCCACCTCTTGCTACCCATACAACCTCGTGCAAATTAACTAACCTCCCTGTGCCTCTGTTTCCCCCTCTGTGGAATGGGGATGGGGATGGTCCCAACGTTTCAGGGCTGTTGTGAGCACTAACTGACCAGGAATCTCGGTCCAGGGGCTCTGACAGGCACACAGTGAACGCTCAAGAGAGAACACGTGTTACTCCCACAGGCCTGGCCTCGGGCTCTCTCTTTCTCCAGCCTGGCCCTTGCTCTTCCCCCTGAAGAAGGAGACCCTGTCCTAGGCATCGCATCCTGCACATTATTAGAATCCCCTGGGGAGCTTTTAAAAAATCTCAAGACCGGGCCCACACCCCAGGCCAGTTACCCCAGAATCTCTGGGGTGGGACCCAGGTGTCTGCGTTAAGTGCCCTGGGCGAATCCCCTGTCTTGTAGGAGGCAATGCTCAGCGCCTCTGCAGCAGTAATGAGCATCCCCTGGGTCTTGTTGAGATGCAGCTCCCGAGCCTGCGGGCAGGGTGGGGCCTGAGAGCACGCATCTCTCACAAGCTCGGCCGTGGAGAAAGGCCCCAGCTGGAAGCCACTACCTGGCTGCCCTCTGTGGCTGTTATAAATAATAGCACTGGACACTTCTCGGGCTTGAGCTCTGTGCCCTCCTGGTAACTCAGTCTTCCATGCTGCTCAGTGAGTCCGCCAAGAGCATCACCCCCATTTTAAAGATGAGGAAAGTGAAGTCTTGGTTGAGGAACCGTCCCCTGCGGTCACCTGGCTGAGCCAGGCTCTGGTCCAGCCAGGAGGACACACAGCTCCAGGGCCTGCCGGCAAGTTAAGAGATATTCCACCACTGTCTATCTCTCTCCTGGCCTGTCTCTCTCCCTCCCACTCGCTCGTGCTCTCCGCTTCGTCTCCAAGCCCCCCAGCCTGTCTCCAGGCCCCCTTCCTTCCTACCTGTCCCACAAACCCAACCTGGATAAAACGGAAGCCCTCACCCTGGGTTTCTCCAAGCCAGCCCCTCCTGGTCCCACCATCTCCTGCGCCTGCATGTCTCCCAGACTCCCAGCTGCTCCTCCACACCCTCATTGTCCCCCCCACCGCACCACCCCCCCGAAACCCCCGTCTTCCATCCTAAGGCTCCACAGTTTCTGACCCAGAGCGAGCTTCTCCGCCCTTAACAGGCACATGGCTCCCAGGGGGCCTTGTTAAAAATACCGATTCTGGCTCAGTGCATCTGGGTGTCCTGAGATGCTGCATTGCTAACGAGCCCCCAGGGGGGCCAAGGCTGCTGGTCCAGCAGCACAGCGTGTGTAGTGAGCGCCTGGGGGACCCCAGCATTTCCTAGCCAAAGATGCCGGCCTCTGGGCAGGACGGGATGACGGGTTTCAGAGCAAAACGCGGGGCCCCTCTCGTGGCCACCCTCCACGCCTCTCCCCGCCCCCAGCCTGGCACACAGGCAGCTCCCTGTGAATGGAGGGATGAGCCTCCCCTTCCCCAGAAGGGCCTGCAGAGCCTCACAGGCCCCAGACCGAGGTCGGGGCAGCCCCAGGGCTGGAACCCCAGCTCCCTGAGCCTGATTTCCCCGTCTGTGAGTGGGAACGGTAGTAGCACATCCCGGGACTGTCGCTGAGGATTGTCCCGAGCACACAGGTGCTGCCTGTTTTATTCATCACTCAGAACGCTAAGGACGCATCCCATTGCTGGCCGACGGGGGGAACAGTGAGACAATTTTAACTCCCTTGGACTGAGGCTAGGTGCCTTTAATCTGTTAGATCTCCAAAGACCGTGCCTCTAACAAGCGGAGCCCATCATGGTGGCCTCAGGGCCACCGGCCCCACAGCCTGGCCGAGGATCCTCACATCCTCCTGCTCCTGCTTCTGAAGCCAGCCACCTCTGCAGACCCTAAAAGAAAGGCCAGGTCAGCCCCCGACCCCACGCTCACCTCCACTGCACCCCACACTCGGATCTCCAGTATATTCAGCTCTGAGGCGCCTGAAAGTTTTTTTCCACCGCACAGACTGCTCTTTGAGCAAACTCCGGCCCAGCTGTAGCCAGCACTCACCCCGACCTCGCCAGTCTGGCGGTTTCTCTCCCCACTACTTCCTGTTGTGAGCCTGTGGGGCGGGGGCGGGGTGGGGGCTGGCCGCACGTGGCCATACCAACGAGCCCCTTCTCTCTCCACAGGCCCAGAGGCGCCGCCATGGGGCTTCAGCTGTCCTGCCTGAAAGGTAAGGGGGGCAGCTCCCCACCAGCTCCTCTGGGGCTGGGGAGTGGGGGGAGGCGAAGGAATGAGGCCGGAGAGAGTGGGAGGGTACACCCTGGGGGGGGGGCCGGCCCCCACTGAAAGTACCTGTATACAGCAGCTGCCTTATAAAGGCTTGCTCTGACTCTGAGCCCCCTGCAGGCCTTCCCTGGCTCGGACAGGTGAGTGGTGTGGGACAGTCGCCGTGCCCCTGTGCCGTGGCTTGTCCCTCAGGGGCGTTAGTCCCAACCGTGGAGAGTAAGGGAGGAAGAGCCCCCGACAGGCACACTCCAGGGTGTTTGCTCTCCATCCCGCGGGCCTGTTATCACTGACCTAGGAGGTCCGACCCACTGGGTGCTGGGGAAGGCCAGCAGGGAGAAGGTCCCAGAAGGACACACAATCGCTGTGGAATGTGGCAGGTGTTGGCAGAGGCAGCCCAGACCCCTGTCCTGTGCCTTAGACCTTTCTGTCCGGGGTCTGGATGGCCCAGGGGCACCTCAGACCAAAGTGGCCCACACTCTCCCCCTGAAGCCCATTCTTCAGCGACAAATGCTCCCCAGCCGGAAATCTGGGAGTTGTTCTGATGGCCCCTCGCCCACGTGTGGCATGCCCAGCCGCCCTGACTCACCTCCTGGATGCTTCCGAGGTGCCCCCGACCCCATTCCTTCGCCGCAGGAGGTCAGGCGCGTGGGAAGGTCCAGGCCAGAGTGAAGGACCATCTTCGGTCGGGCTGCTGGGATGGGTGAGCTTAGGAGAGCGTCTGGTTGGCCCCCTTAGGGCTTATGCTCCGCCCCCTTGGCAGGGGGTGGGGCATCTTGATAGACAGTTCCTCCAAGACACCGCGCAAGTGCGGGGCGGTGGGTCCCCTGGAGAAAACCAGAGTGTCGTTGGCAAGGTGGGGATGCTTTGCTGGAGAGCCGTGCGCAAGCCACACCCCCCCAGGGCCTGGCCCCTCTGAGGCCGCAGGCTGAGCCCACGCTGGAGTGGGGGGCATTTGCGGGGCGAGAATCTGGGGGGGTGGCCGGCCAGGGGTTGCATCCAGTCAGGGCCCCTGGAGCTCAAGGACCCTCCTCCCTTAGACTTCGCGGCAGGTGTCCCCAGGGCCGGGCACAGAGTGGGCATTCAGGACAAGCTTTTGGTTTTGGTTTTTAATCGTGGTAAGATGTATGTAACCTAAAATTTGCTGTCTTAACCGTTCTTAAGTGTACAGTGCCCGAGCATTAAGTACATTCATGTTGTTGCGCCAGGTGTCCCCACCACCCGCCTCCAGACCTTCTCCACTGTCCCCGGCACACACCAACTGCCCAGCCCCTTCCCCCAGCCCCACCTCCCACCATCCTACCTTCCGTCTCTGTGAATTTGCCTATTCTAAGGGCCTCCGATGTGAGCAGTGACCCAGTATCTACCCTTTCCTTACTGGCTTATTTCATTCAGCACAATGTCCTCAAGGTGTCAGAAGAGCCTTCCTTTTTAAGGCTGACTTATATTCCCCGTGTATAGACCACCTTTGGTTTATCCAATTCGTTCCTCCTTGGGCACGGGGCTGCCTCCCCTTTTGGCTGCTGGGCCAGGACATCTTTGATGAGTTAACCAAGGCCCTGGAGGGACCCCTGGGGCTGCTTCGTTTCCAGCCCAAGGCGGGGACCACCCAGGGGAGGAGACCCAGACACTTCAGACCCTGAGAGCCCCTGGGGAGCATCCCATGCCCCCCCCCCCAATTTCCCTCCCTGCAGGACTTAGAGCCCTGGTGCCAGGGGGCTTTTAAAAGGGCCTCCTTCCAGCCAGACCCTTGAGGAGCAAAGGGCTGGAATGTTGCTGGAGCAGCGAGGTTTGCTCACATATTTTTCACTGCAGCTCGTTGGGGCCTGCCACTGGCCCTGGACTGCCAGCCCTCTGCCCACACCAGCCTCACCCAGCCCTGATGTCGGGAGGTGGCAGGTCTCTTGGGTGTGACAGGCAGGGGGAGGGGGGCGGGGAGCTGAGCACCAGACCCTCTCTCCGTGCTTCACCAAGACGACCCAGGCCCACCCGCCCAGAGGCCCCAACGCTCCTCCTCCCATAAGGGACGGGCCACAGCCCAGCAACTGCAAAGCGCCAGGTGCCCCTCGGCCCCTTCCCTGCACACCCTTGTCCAAATTACCTTCTCGGCCCTCGCCGCCTGGGCCCTCGCGCCCGCAAGCGTGGTGTTACCCCATGTAGGGCTGCGACATGTCTGTGTGTCCTGTCTGGCTGCCACTGGCGTGTGTCTTTCCACGCTCTCTAACTCCTGTGTCACATCCCGCCAAGAGCTGGTCTTTGGGAGGTTTCCAACTCGTTGCTTTTGTAAATCGTGCCGTTTTGAACATCTTTGATTTCTGATTTTTAAAATTATTATTTCTTTGGGATGAATTCCAGAACTCAGAACGACCCAGTCAAGTAATTAGAATACGGGGTGAGTTCTTACTGGAGGCTCAGCCTGGACAGGGCCCTGTTCTGTGCATATTCTGTGTGGATCCGCTCCCCTGTCTCCACGACAACCACGTGAGTCCTCCTGGGATCCCCAGTTTCCAGATGAGGAAGCTAAGGCACAGAGAGGCAGTGCCGTTGGCCCGAGGCCACACAGCTGGGACCCGGTGGGATCTGAACCCCCGAAGGGCTGGTTCCAGAGGCCTTGTTTCATCCACCACCGGTATGGCCTCTCCAGGAGGAAACATTTCAAGGTGACATGTGAAGCAGTCGCTGTAGCCAGAAACGTTAGCAACACGTTCTCCTTCATCTTCACAGTCGGTAAGATGGTGTCCGAGTTTCCTGGAGCTGCCGAAACGTATCACCCCAAACTCAGAGGCTTCGAGCAACGGAAATGCGTTCCCCCACAGTCTGGAGGTTACGAGTCCTCAATCGAGGCGCCAGCAGGGTCGCCACGCTGTCTCCGAAGGCTCCCGGGGAGGGTCCTCCCTGTCTCTCCCCGCCCCTGGGGGCTCCAGGCGCTCCTGGGCGTGTGGCCCGTCCTCCTGGGTCGGCCTCTGTCCTCCCACGGCCTCCTGCCTGTGTCCCTGTGTCCTTTCTCTTAGAAAGACACCGGTCTTCAGACGTAGAGCCAGCCTTAAATCCAGGATGATCTCATCCCGAGACTCTTAACGAATCACATCTGCAAAGACCTTGTTTCCAAATAAGGTCACGTTCTGAGGTTCTTTGTGGACGTGGATTTGGGGGGACACTCTTCACCCCTCCATGAGTCACTTCACCCTGAGCCCCGCACATGCGGGGCAGGAAGGTGCTTCTCCGGTCCGATGGCAAAGACAGCCCGAGGTGGGGACCTGTGGAGGGTGTGGCACGGGAGAGAGGAACACAGCTGCGCCGAAATCCTTCTGTTTCCGGTCCCAAAGGAGAGTGGGTGCAGCGGAGCACTGGGAGTGGGGTCCTGCTGCCCAAGGGCCTGGCCACGGCAGCTGTGACACGTGGGAGTGCTCCGCTGTCCAAAGAGCAGCTCCCCCCTGCCCTCTGGCGGAAGGGCTGGCTTTGGTCCGGGCATCACTGAAACAGGAGCAGCTCCCAGAATGGGGTCCCTCTATTTGCCTATTTCGTGCTCACTACAGCTGGGCAGCGTAGGTGACTTCACAGTGGGGAGACGGAGGCACAGGGCCACTCTCACCGGCCCGCGTCCCATGGCCGGTTGGAGGGGCTTGGCTCAGTAGGCAGGGGAGGGGTGAGTGGGTTCCTGGTTTGTGGGTTTGTGAGTTAGCAGCATGGAGGGGCCCCAGAGCTGAGGCCTCAGCATCACCTGGGAACTGGTCAGACGCATGGGCCCCTCCCAGACCTACTGAGTCAGAGACTCGGGGGGGTTTTAACAAACCCTCTGGGGGATTCCAGTGCCTGCTCAAGGTTGAGAACAACTGGTGACCTGGCTCTGGGGTCAGAAAGATCTGAGTTCAGATCTCAGGTGTGTCCCTGACTAACTGCAACCTTGTACAAATCTCTTCACATAACAAAGCCTCAGCTACCCCATCTGTAAAATGGAGTGATGAGTGGGCACATTTCCTGGGCCAGGTTTTGAGGCTTATCTGAGATAGACTGGCACTGAAGATGGTGCCCAGTGGACAGGGTTTCCTGTCTGCCCTGGCCCTCTGTACCTTCCCATTCTGGTGGCGGCTGCAGGTGCAAGGGAAGTCAGTCTGGAGGTGTGGGCTTTCCTGTGGGGGCCGCCTCGGGGGCCGCTGTGGTCTCTGGGGTTCCCCGGAGGGTGCCAGAGCCAGCCCCGGCCACTGACAGCGTCACCGAGGAGACAGGCTCCTGGGCCGGGCTGGTCCCAGCGGACTGTCCTTCTGGGGCCACCTGGGACCAGGTGGAAGGGCACCAAGAGATGGAGACTGTCGGGCTTGGTGGCTTGTTCGTGTGTTTTAATGACTGTTTTTTTAGAACAGTTTTAGATTTACAGAAAGTAATTTCAAATTTACAGTTTCCCCTCTAGTTAAGGCTTGTATCAGCTCGGTCCCTTCATCACGGCCCCTGAACTGGTCCAGATATATTACTACCAATAAGGCCCGGGCTTTGTTCAGCTTTCCTGTTCTCCCCTCAGGCCCCTTTGCTGTCCCAGGAGCCCACCTTACAACTACTTGTCACATCTCCTCAGGCTCCTCTGATCGTGACAGTTTCTCAGAAGCTCCTCTTTGTGACCTTGACCATCTTGAGGAAGACGGCCATCTGTTTGGGAGGACAGCCCACTGTTGGGATCTGGCCGATGGTAGTGGGGTCTTTAGTCTCTTGTGCCAAGCAGGTGACATGGTGATGGTAGGGACTGGGGACACGGGTCTGCCCTCCCCGGAGCCCCTGACTGTCCAGGCATTTCTCCCACTTCCCTTGCGGGGGGCTCAGGGCCTCTCCTCCTCTTGGCCTATAACCCAGGCATGGGTGGTTGGGGGCTGGTGGTCACGATGCCCATTTTTGCCTGGTATTAGGAGGCCTGAGACTAGCTGCAGGTCACAGCGAAGATGAGCGTCACAACGCATA